ACACACACACTCTCACACACACTCACACAAAAACAAACAAACAGCAACAACAGCAACATCAACAACAAAAAAAAAAAAAAAAAAAAACCGGGGGGGGGGGGGGGGGAAGATTTAAAAACCTCAACTTTTTTTTTTTTTTTTTTGAAGCTCTTACAACGAGAAAATGGAGGGGACACATCTGGGTGGGAGGGCGGAGAGGGAGGAGGGAGGGAGGTTTTGGTGATGGGACACAATAACTAACTACATTGTATATTGACAAAATAAAAAAAAAAATTAAATTAAAAAAAAAATCCCTCAAACAATCTGAGAAACGGGGGACCAGGCTCACATTCCCAGAGTGAAGAGCAGGTGAGAATTTGCAGCTGCGACATCCATCGCCCAGGCTGTGTGCCCAAGAATGCTGATGACAGGGAACCTGGAACAGAGGTGCCAGGCCAGGATCAGAGGGGTGCCTCAGAGAGTTCAGCAGGGTAAAGTGTGTCTCAAGGCCCGGCGTCCAAGTGCGCCATTTCTGAGGTTGCTAATCAGTCAGGAACACTTGGGGGCTTTATTCATATACACATGATGCCAAAATCATCAGTCCATTTGCCAAAATAAAAGTTATTAACACCTTGTTACCTTACGGTTCTTAGAAACTTTTAGGAGCATTCTTAATTATTATTTCATAAAAATTATTTAACGGATTTGAGGGGAGAGTTTGTCACGTTACAAAGTCTGCTATGACCTGAAGTCATCTTTTGACTTAAAATGAGAGTTCCCACTCTCTCTCTGCCCACCAAACCCTCATGACCCAGGTCAAACACTTCTGTGCCCCTTCACACAGGGCTCTGGACCCATGGTAGCTGCAGGACCTGGGGAGTTCCTTTTGGTGTGGTGATGGGAGATCTTGCCTCCTGACCTCCTCACTGGGAGTGTAGGGGGGCTGCCAGGGCACTCCCAACAGTGCTTTGTAGAGAAAGTCTTTGCAGAATTAGTGTCTCCAGGGATTCTCTAGGCTCCTCTTGTATCCAGGCTAAACATAGCTCATGAGCCAAAGGTTGGAGTTATCCATGTCCACCTCTTAGCAAGTCTTTGAGAAATGTCGCTAGCACAGAGTTTCTCAACCTCTGCATTAGTGGCATTATTGCATTTTGAGCTGAGTATTTCTCCATTATGGGGGTCGGGATCTGTTGGGTGCATAGTGGGATGCCTTGCAGCATCACTGGCCTATCATCATGAGATGCCAGTAGCACACTCACTCTGTTGTGACAACCAATAATATCTCCTTGGATAGGAGGTTGCCTCCCGCTGAGAATCACTGGTTCAGCCACTTTCTTTAGGATGCAGGTACAACTTTTTCCTATTGTCCTGAGCTTTAGGTCTCAACCAAGATTGAGACAAGATGAAACATCCACTAGACACCCAGCATGTGAGCCTCCTACTCACCCGTGAGCAATATCATTTAACCCTCTTTGCCACGGCCTCTTTCCTTGAGAAATTGGAGTGGATAGAACAACCAATGACCCTGTCGCTCACTTAGCACGTAGCGCTGCAGGCTCCCCTGCCCAGTTGTGACCTGTTACTTTCATATATCCTCTGCTAAGTGTCATTTTTGCTACCTCAGGCACGTGTTTTAGTGACTGTTAAATTCCTTTACTGCTCAAGCAAGATGCCTTCCCTGCAGTGAGTGCTCAGCAAATACTGGTTATCGTTAGGAGATAATTCATATTAAGAGGTCTTACTGGAACAAATGAAAGAGGCTAAAATGAAACTGTAACTTCATACTTTGCAATGGTGTTTACAATTTCAAAAACACTTTTACATACATTGGCTCATTTGAGGCAATCAATGATATTTGGAGGCAGGAAGGGAGCTTCAGAGGGGTGAGGGTGGATGTAGGGCCTCTCAGCTAGTGCACGGTAGAGCTGAGAATCAAACCTATTTCTTTAGTCCCAAGGCCACCTAGTGTGCTATAGCAGAGGGCATGAAATCACTCAGTCCTGCTTTAATTCCAAGTCTGCCTGTCATTCGCTCTACTTGCTGCTGTCTGACACTCAGTGCCCTCAATTATGAAAACAAAATAAAAACCCGTATCTTGCATCGTCGGTTTAAGGAAGGTGCACAAGACAACACCTGGCATAGCGGGGAGCTCGGTGCACCCACAGCCTTCACCTCCGTCCTCTCGACCCTTCCTCCTGTTGAAGTAGGCGGAGTACAGAGCTACTGTGGGGAGACCTGATTTTGGACTTGGGGTGTGCTCCTTATATGATCTTAGTTCTTTCACTTAATGACGTCCACAGTACCTCCAGACAGAAGAACACCCCAGTGTAGGCACAGGAGGGTCCTCAGCGTTGCACTCCTGGAAGGCACTGTGGGGTGGCCACATCCATCCCCTTCCCGAGAGAGACCCCCACACCCCACCCGGCAGCAAACATGGGCAAGGAGGGAACTGGCTGCAAATGTCCTGTACTCCAGAGGTGGCGAAAATTAAGTAAAGAGTCTGATTCAAAAAATAGTAAAGATCTGTAAACAACAACATATGTGAATATTTGGGTGCTGTTTTCCCAGGATGTGTCCTTTCGGCACTAGAAAACTTGATAACAAACCTCTTTAACTAATCCTTCCCCTGCTTCAGCCAGGCCGTGTGTAGCAGAAGTGGACTTTCTCCTTTTCTTATCTTGCAAAACTTCTACTTAAATCTTCTGGCCCCATGAAGCCTTCTCGATGACCCATTAATTTCTGCCTTTGCAGAGCACTTGCATATGTTAGGAAATCAAGGAGTCACTAGTTTAGTTCTTAGTGACCAACATGGTGCTGTTTCTATCATTAGTCGACCAAATACTCAGGCTCTTGGATTGCTTGATTATATTTCATCCAATACATTGGAATTCTGTCTCTTTCAGCTCTTTTCATTAAAGGACCACATTTCCTACTTGGGAACATTTGTGGGAACACATTCTGAATCCTCATGAATGTGCAGAGAAGTCGGACCCACTCTTCTCTCCTTTGTCCTTTAATTCAATTCTTGCTAGGTCAGTGTGGGGTGCTAGGAAAAGGGTCATTTTTAATGACAGTCATACTTGACTTTAAATCCCTTCTCTGCTGCTAGTGATGCCTGCATGATCTTAGATGCTACAGAGTCTCTCCGAATCCCAGTTTTCTCATCTTAGAAAATACCTAAGTCAGAAGCGCTACATGAAGTTCAGGGTTTGACACATTGCTGGGCTCCCCAGCAGATGGAGGCTGGGGGAGGTGCAGCGCCAAAGGGACAGTCAAGGGGCATAACTTTGTGGTCTCTCTTGATGCCTTTCTGTTGCTCAGTAAACCACGGATTTTGTTATGCCTTTTTTCCTTGTTCAAAAGAATTATTAGAACCCACAAGTCAGAAAAAAGTTGATTGCATAATAGGATTCTTTGCAAAAATTTATCTGTAGATTGTCTCTAAATGAACACTGCAAGTATCAATTTAAATAACTTCATGTGGCCCTGGGGAATGGAGCTCAGCGTTGCAGGTAAAAGCACTAATCATGAACTGAATTCTCTCTCTGTTTCACCCCAACGTGTCTCCATTGAAAAGTTTTTGCATGTTTTGCTCATCACTCTGGGATCAAGGAAATAGATTTTGTAATCAGAAAGACCTGAATTCAAATCCCAGCCTCGCTGCTTACTAACAAGTCACTTAATTTATCAAAGTCTCCAATTTGAATGTATAAAATATCTATAAGATTGAGATATAGTAATAATAGCTATCTCCAGTATTGTCATTAGGATTAAATGATATAAAGTATATACCATGCTTAACAGAGTGCCCAGCACATACGGAGCACTCAGCAGATGATGGCGTGCTGTTACCACACTCATCGGAATGCTTACTACATTATTTTTATATAGAACTGGTATCCTTGAGAGAATACCCTGTATAACCAACTCTGTACATAAAAACTAATTAATTTCTTTCCTTTTCTTTGGCTAAGCGAAAAATATAAGGAGGATCCAAGAAATCTGGTGACGATGGACTGCAAATTCTAGTTCTGCCACTCTCAGAATATGTCTATGGATATGAGGTAATTACTTTTTAACTTTCAATTCATAAGTTAAAAAAGATAAAGACAACAGGTCGACGGTAGAATACTCACGATCAGCATGTGATTGAAATAGCTAAATATTGAGTCAAAAGTGTAAGAAAGTGCATTAAGGATCTAAAGAAGAGACAGATTACAACAACTGTGTTGAGGATAAGTTTTGGTTGACAGAGCTGTGCAGGCATCTCTCTATTCTCAATCCTTACACAGGAGTTGCGATTGTTTCACTACTTTACACTTATTGTTTTAAAGAACATTAACACGATACCGGATAAATCAAAATATTGGTTCACAAAGCACTATAATCATTTATCCAAGGGTAGATCTCTTTTATGGTATTTATTTTATAATCTACTTATGTATTGGTGATTTATTTGAATCAACAAATAGCTGAGAATCCTTCACTTAACCCAAGAACAAAAAAGCATTACGAGCAATCTACAAGCTCCTTTCTATTAAACCATCCACTAGAAAAGTGTAGAACTTAGTGATCATCTCTCAAGACTTGTCCAGTTTCCTGTTTTGTTACTGAAGAAACAGCCACATATCCTGTTCCGCTACTTATGTATTGGTGATTTATTTGAATCAACAAATAGCTGAGAATCCTTCACTTAACCCATGAACAAAAAAGCATTACGAGCAATCTACAAGCTCCTTTCTATTAAACCATCCACTAGAAAAGTGTAGAAGTTAGTGATCATCTCTCAAGACTTGTCCAGTTTCCTGTTTTGTTACTGAAGAAACAGCCACATATCCTGTTCCGTTGGAGATGGGATCTAGGTGGTTTTGTGGAAAGTGAAATGAAACAAATGAGATAAAATCATCTTGTTCCTCAGCTAGTTTTACTTATTTGGGGGCAAACACAACCTACTTACTTGACTGTCTGCTCCATTTCCTCCTTTTGCTTGTCCAGATCCACCCTCCATCTCTCTCTGCCTTGGGAGTCTGGCCCCCAAGGGTGGCATGAATGTTCCTCCTTATCCCCCTGGTGTTGTCTGAGCAGCCAACAGAAGCATCAGCAGGAGGCTGTGAAGAGAGAGGAAAGTGAGTCAGGGTCACCCCCCTGCCAGGTGGCCTTGAGTCTGCTCCGTCCTTCCCCAGTGGACAATACACAGCACCACCTGCCCTATCGCCAGAAGATTCACGTCCAGGATCCAAGAGGTGGAAGTGGGTGTGTCCGTCCTCTTCTATACCAATTAACCCACTGCAGGAATTTACTTCTTTTTTTTCCCTAGATCCCTGGAGCCACAGGCTTGAAAATCCTAGTACCCCAGGAAGACACACAAGGCCAGTGAGCTAACTTGAGCAACCAGAGCATTAACACTTTCTTTAATTTAGCATGCTGAATCCATAGGAATCAGGAGAAAAACAGGATTTTGTTTTTCAAAGGAAGCAAAAGTTGTTCGAGAAAAATAGTAAAGGTGGTCAAGCAGAGCCAATTACAGGCCTTTCTAACGAACAGATTTTGGTGTTATCCTTAAGTGCTCAGTAATGTAGACATATTCATAATATTATAAAGCACGTGAATTCTTTTTAAAAGTAAATTTTAAAATAAAATTCAAAAGTATCAAGTGTTTTCTATTAGACAATTTAAAAAGTACAGAAATGACATAGAAAAATATATTCATGATCCCAGTGCCTGGAAATGACCGCTTCGCAGAAGCCTGTGCCCTCTCCTCTTCCCAAGGCTGCCTCTCCTGATCCCACTCATGGCACAGAAAGCAAAGAGCACCCAAGACAAAACAGGCAACCTGGATTTTGAGGTGGGTCTAGCAATTTCTGCATTCATGATTTTTGTACGATGCCTCCTACGTCACAGACATCACTTTTCCCACAGTACTAGTGTGTGTGTGGAGTTGGGTAATAGATGATAGGTTGCATGATAATATTGATATTGAAGATTTTACTAGAACTTGTTCAGCGTTAATTGGATCACATAACACTGGTTCTATTATTCAGAGTCATCGTGTTTCACACACCTCAGATGTGAAAGAAAATAAGTTGAGTTGAAATCGTCAGGATATTTAGGGCATCCATCTGCAAAAGATCCCCTGCCCATAGGTGATGGGAGCACCTCAGTAATAGTCAGAATGTCAATCTCAATTCAGCAGACATTAAATGAGCCCCTACTGTATTCAGTACTGTACATTGTAATAATAGACTTTCAGTGTTTCTGTGAATCAGAAATTGAAACTACTTAATTGGCAAATCAAGACAAGGCTTGTTTGCCTTTGGTGTGGCTGAAATGCCCCTGGTGAAGCCCACCTTAGCCAAGAGCAGAAGAGCAGGAGGAGAAAACCCTCCACACAGGGACTTATCTTCCCCAGTAATAGTTGTTTGCTCCATGCAAAAGGCCCCTGTCCTCCCCGGCTGTGCGGAAGTCGAAGGTCCCGCAGACCCATGATTGGAAACAGATTTAAATTACCTTGGGTGACTTCTTGTGAGAGTTTCTCTATAGTTGGCTTATCTCTCTATAAACTGTAACAGTCAGCCACACTTGGACAGATGTGGTGCTAATCCCCGGATATACAAAGTGGTGTGTGGTGGGGGGAGGGTGTACTAGTTGTTATTTTGCTTGTTTTGTGGAGTTTTGTTTTTTATCAGCTAACACTTTCTGGGCTCTCACAATACGCCAAGCACTGGGCCAAATCCTGGCCGTGCATCCTCTAGGAGCTCTCACAGTGACCCGTGAGGTGACAGCTGGACCTGTGCTTTCCGGGTGAGGAGGTGGGGCTGCAGAAGCTAATGGCTTTGCCACATGGCTCATAAGTGGGACAGCCCAAGTCAGACCTGGGTCTCTCTGATATGAGAGGCCTGGCTCTTAGCCACTTCCTATGGCTTATGCAGAACTAGATAATTACTGAGCAACTGAAGAATCAGAAAGCATCAGAGCTATTTGAGAAGACAAGGCTAAGAATCATTTGTCCCTCTGCTGCTTCACAGTGCAAATCTACTTCTATTTGTTTTATATATGCAAGATCATACTTCAAAGAAGTTTCCAAGGCAAAGAAATGAAAACAACAACAATAATAACAAATTGTAAACCTGAGATGAGAGAGATGGAACAGGAATCATGAGAAATTTATGGCTGAGAGGCGTATTTAAGTGGAGGACTGTCATTCTAGGGGTGAACAGCCACCCAGAAGCAGCAGTGCTCAGCAGAGGCAGCCTTAGCCGTGACAGAGCAGAGGAGCTTGGCCACCTCTGTGTGCACCCTGCTGCCAGCTCAGAGAGGTCAATCCCAGACTGACCGTCGGGTCAGTGCAATCTTCAGACTGAAAATAAACTACTCCTGACACCCGAGTCCAAAGTAGACTCGGACTTGGATTCAATTAGCAGAAATGTTTATAAGTTTTATGCAAAATCAAGTATCACCACTCCAAGGTATGCACGTGATTATTTGTCATTGTGGTCTGCCCGGCCTGAGCCTACATCATGCCATGCTTGTTACATTTTAGCCTCTAGGAAAATGCATATAATTTCATCTAATATCCATTTTTTTAAATCAAGGGAGATAGGTGGATCAGAGAAAACTGATGTGATGTAAACTGACCAGCACAAAAAAAGTCACAAGAATGTGTATATATCTTGGCAGAAAATAAAAGTTGGCCTATGTGACTAAATATGAGTGGCTTAGAAAAGCTACTGGTGAGGGGCCGGCCTGGTGGCGCACTGGAGAGTGCGCCGCTTGGGAGCGCTGCGGCACTCCCGCCGAGGGTTCGGATCCCATGTGGAGAACGGTTCCCTCTCACTGGCTGAGCGTGGTGCGGGCGCAACACCAAGGGTTGCGATCCCATTGCCGGTCCCCGTAGGGGCACAACACCGAGCGTTGCGATCCCGTTACCGGTCAGTAAAAAAGACAAAAAAGAAAAAAAGAAAAAAAGAAAAAGAAAAGCTACTGGTGAGAAAGCAGATCCCTGAAAAGATGAGGCTGATCATGGGTACATACGTGTATAAAGCCCCCTCTTCCAACACGAGCTTTTATCTAGAAAATGGTATAAAAGCACACTGTGGTGACTGTGGTTTCCTGACCCATAATAACGAGCGCAGCACCAAGGCACATTTATTGAATGAGATGCTGCTCATTGTCTGCTACTGTGCACATCCCAGAGAGCACAGTAGTAGGTGGCTGAGTCTTGTTCCTCTACGTTGTGAATGGTGAGGGTCGATGTAGAAGTTTCGGATATCTTGTCTACCTCATATTTGCCTGGCATAATGCCTGATTCTATTTTGACAGCATTGTCAGATGACACGTATGCCAAGCGCTGCATGGCTTGATCAGGTCTCTCTTGATACCAGTGAATGGATGTTGCAGAAATTGTTACTCCAGACACCACGCATTCCAGGCGGGCTGTTTTTGACCGTGTTTTCGTACTGGAAGCCTGAGGTTGCTCCAGGTGTCCTGCGCCATACACACACACTGGGGAAAGAAAAGGGGTGGGGAACAGTAAATAGACCAAAACCTTGAAATTTCTAAAAGAAGTATATATATTAGAGAATATCAATCCAAAGCGATTGGGGCAGAACAACTTACAAGCCCCAAGGACTGCCAGAGTCGCTGCTCGGAACAGCTGCAGCATGTCTGCATGAAGTGTGGCCTCCCGCAGGGCAGCTGCAGTCACAGCTGAGAAGAGCTTCAGGCCAGGCTCCCCACGGGTGGGAGTGAACCAGGCCTCCCCACACGGCCGCCTTGCCTCACTGGGAGGGGCGTCCTCACCACCTGTTAGCACATGCACTCCACATGAAGACAGCCACACAAGGTCAGTACCTAAGACCTGACCACGAGTACAGATGGCCACCTCAGAACTCTGACATGCCTCATTTACCCAAACAATATTCATCAAGCTCCCTCTATGTACGAGGCACTATGCTAAGTTCTTCGGGAATAAAGGTGCGATGATGGAGCACCTGACCATAGGGAGTTGTCTAACAGGAACACGGCAGGACTTGGTTTCCTGATTTTCCTCCTGACTGCCTGTTCTTTCTCCCTCCCCTTTGCTGGTTCCTAATCTTCTGTATACCCTCCTCATTTTGGAGTCCTCTACCAAACCCCAGCTTCTCCTCTCTGAAACAGTGTTTCCTCTTAACGGATTACTGAATTTTCTCTTGTCTGTTTTTCTTTCTCTAACCCAAGACATTTAACCTGCCCTAGGTTATTATCACAGCCTGCCCTTCCCCACTCTACCCATTAAAAGTTGACTTCCAGGTTTCTCTTCTCACTTTACCTGCACTGAGTGGTCTCTTCCCCATTCTTGGCTTTAATAGTCCTGGGGGGTGGGGGAAAGGATGATGGGGACATCACATGTCCACCTGCTCCCCCTACCCCCTATACCCATCACCTGATGCTCATAACCTGCTGACACCCAATGTCTTCAAGCACATCTAACACAGGACCTTCTCACTTTACCTGCACTGAGTGGTCTCTTCCCCATTCTTGGCTTTAATAGTCCTGGGGGATGGGGGAAAGGATGATGGGGACGTCACATGTCCACCTGCTCCCCCTACCCCCTACACCCATCACCTGATGCTCATAACCTGCTGACACCCAATGTCTTCAAGCACATCTAACACAGGAACACAAGCAGAATCGTGCACAGCCAGAGGGAGCTCATTTCCTCCTTCAACCCAGCTCTTCTTCCTGTCCCAGTGAACGACACTGCCCAGGCCTGGCACCTGAGCACTGCCTCTGTTCTCCCTCCAACTCGTCCCACTCCATTTTCTGCAGATTCCCTCTCCATAGTCCTTGCTCACCTGTCCCCATAGCAGTCTTCCCTGGGCCTCCAGTCCCACCTGGTGACAAGGGCACTGATCTAATGCAGTCACTGCTCTGAGCTCTTCACCTGCTCGGCCCTGCATCTGAGAATAAAGCCCAGAGCTCCTCGGACATGAGGCGCTCTGTGATGTGGTCACCACCCCCTCCGTCTTCAGCCAGTCCCTCCTTAGAATCCCGTGACCCACTCCTAGGCTGACCTGCAGCATTCTCTGTCTGGACCGTGGCGTATCCACTTTTCCCTGCCGACTCCCTTGGGGCTCAGCTCAGGCACTATCTGCTCCAGGCAGCTTCACTCGCCTGGGAGGACAGGACAGGGGAGGACCCCACTGCTTGCAGCTAGGACCACCTAATGCCTCCCCTCCCCTCGCCTACGCCTGCCCCAGCCTCCTGCTACCTCCTGAAACTGTCCAGGGGTGAGACCAGGTCTTGTGGTGTTTGTTAAACAGATGAAAGAGTGAAGGAATGAGCAGATGAATAGCCGTTGAAGTATTTCTCTTTGCTCTGATGTCAAAGAAACATCACCACTTAAAATATAATTTTTAAAAAGAGCTACAAAGTAATGGACATTTACTAAATGCCTTCAATGTGCCAAGCACTTTGCAGCCACTATCATATTTAACTCCATTAATTTAGTATAATCCCTATGGGGCCTTCCTCAAAGCAGGTAAGTAAATGGCTCAAGGCCTGTCGGTGACAGATTTGAGATTAATTCCATCTGGCTGCAAAGCCTGTGCTCTTTGAAAAGCTCTCTCTGCTTCCAATTTCTCATGTATCCAATGAGAATAAAATCAGGACCTTTCTATTGGGAGTTTCTGAAGGATAAATAGTTAGGCCAGGTAGAGTTTGGGGCAGGGACCAACACACAGCAAGCCCTCAGAAGCATCTCCACCGGGCACCTGCCCATGCACCAGCAGACACGCACCGGCCATGCTCCTGCCATGTGGAACCCTCATTTAGAGACAAGCTAGCTGGGAGTCTCCCCAAAGTGAGTGGCGATGAGAGTGAAAGTACTTGGATTATTTGTTAGAAATAAAAGTTTCAGAGCCAGGTGATGACTACCCTGAAGGTGCGATCGCTCTAGAAAGACGTACTCTAGGTCTATAAATATTTCCCTGAGGGATTTTATGCAGGAAAGAGCTTGCCTGTTACGCCAGAGGCTGAAACTGAAATCACGTGGTACAATTCATAGGGAGAGACATTTTGGGCACTGTTATTCCCTCTGTTTTGGAGATGAGAAAACTGATGGCTGGAGGAGCTAAGACTTCCCTGCAGGTCACAGAGCTCAGGAAGAGCACAGTAGGACTCAGTGGGAGGGGAGGAAGGAGGTTTAGGTGGCGTGAAGGTTCACAGGGGCACAGGCCCCTCCTGCAGAAGGTGAAAGGGGCTGATCCTTAGGGAGGTGAGTGAGAAACTTGCTCCTCCTGTGGCCCCGTAATCACCAGTTTACAGAGTTCACTCCTCTCTGGGGTCACTTGGTTTATCAGCACAGTGGGGAAGACAAAATGGAGGAACAACTCAAAATCAGAAGGAAAGTCAGTCTGAGTCCCTCCTCCCCGCCCCTTCTCACACATGCTGGGAGGTCTTGGCCTTGACTTTGGCCTGCAGTGGAGCTGGGATGTTGGGCTCTTTCAGAAGCAGGGCCTGTCAATCATAAATCTCTAGTCACCAGAACAGAAGTCGAGGGACCACACTGAGTTAGGGACCCCGAGGGACTGATTTCCTTGAGAATCATTTGGATTTCCATTCACTAATTATCTTTATTGATGGTAACAAGTCATATATAAACTCTGAGTCTTCACTTGAAAAGGGACTTCAAAAGTTTTGTTTTGTTTTGCTTTTTTCCTTTCATGCAGAAAGCAGCAGACGGATTTCTTCTTTGCTGCTGAAGATTCAACAATACAGGTTTTCGGTTTTTTTTTCTCTCTCATTTCTTTTTCTATTAAACAATTGATTATTATATAGGAAGGTAACAAACATAGTGATATCTTATTTGTATGACTTTGTTTTAATACAGAAATCGTAGTTACATAATTTAGCAGCCATTTGGTCAGATGAGGGAATGAAGTTCAGGGAAGGTGGGATTCCCCCAAATCCCACACCGGGGGAGTGTGCAGAAGGAAGTAGAAGGCAAGGGGCCCCATGTCTCCTCCAGGTGTACTCTATCACCTGCATGACGGATATCTACTAACACCAGCTCCTGTGCCAGCCCTGCCAGTGCATGAGGGCGCTGAGGAGGGACACTGTGGTTTTCCTGGCTTCTAAGTGTTAATTCTACAGCAGAATGACAACCGCCCTGGGGCAGGAACATGGAAGCTGAAAACGGAGTGGCTGCCAGTCTCAGCTTTTCAACAATTTTGTGGTAAATCTCCAGAGAGTCCTTCACACTAGAATTTTTTGTGTGAACTATTTTATCTGTGCATTCTCCAGGGGAGATGGTCAGATCCTTACATGATCAGTCTCTAACTGCACTATTCAATAGAAACAAATGTGAGCCACAAATTTAAAATTTGCTAGTTGCTGCACAAAAAATGTAAAGTGAAACAGGTAAAATTCGTTCTTAATACTACTGTATTTTTCAGTCCAAGATATCCAAAATATAATCATTTCAACGTTCAATCAATGTAAAAGTTATTGAGTTATTTTACTTTTCTGTACTGTCTTCTAAATACAGTTTGTATTTCAGACACCCAGCCCACCTCAGGTTAGACCACTGACTACCTGCCTTTCAATGCTCAGCAGCCACATGTGGCTCGTGGCACGTGGACTGAGCAGCACAGACCATCTCCAAGTGCTTCCGAGATGCTGAAGCGGAGAATCTTTCAACACGTCCCTTCCCAGGAGGTGGCTCGCTGGGTGGGCTTGGGCTGGGAGGCGGCCCCTCTTCAGCCTCGTCCCTCATCTCGGTGGGAGCGCTGGGACACAGAGGGACAGGGCACAGGGCTTTTTTGCCTTCACCCCCAGGGAAACCCGAGGGACCGGGAGTCAGAGCAGATGTCCCAGGCCTGGACGACCGGAGAGCGAGGTCCTTGTGCAGGCGCCGGGGCAGCCGTGCGGGTCTCAGGGGCGCAGCAGTGACCCCTGCGTCGCGCGCCCCGTGCACCGGCACCGGCAGGGCACAGCTGCTGCCATCCGTGGCCTTCGTGGCTGTGATTTTATCCGCTTTCAGCACCGAGTCCCGCCGCACGTCCGACTGGAACATGAGCAGCAGGAGGAGCCTCTCGGGGCCTGGGCCTCCTGCCGCCGGTCCCCGTGGGAGGAGCTGACCCTGGTGTGCACCGAGCACCGCAGGACCCGCAGGACCCGCAGGACCACAGGCTGCCCCGGCGCCCCACGACTATGGGCCGGCTGCTCCAGCCTCACGAGCGACTGGTCCCCTGCGAGGGACACTGCGGTGACGCGGGGGGGACCCCAAGCCCCTGGGACCCGGGGAGGCGGTGGGAGACTTACCTGGAAACAGGGGGGCCCAGAGGAGGGCAGAGCGGCCCGGCCTGGCTCTGCGTCCTGAGCAGGGGACAGGAGCCGGGCTGAGCCACACCTTCGTGGGTGGGAGACGCCAGGCAGGGCCCGAGCAGGTGCCTCCCTGCTGCTGCAAGGAGGTAACTGCGGAGAGGAGTGGGGACGGGAGGAAGGGCCCCAGGGGGAGGACAGACAGAAATCTGACCACCAGGTGAAGGGGTGACAGGTGGCTCAGTCCTGAGAGGGGCTTAAAGAAAGTGAGGAGTGACCGCCATCACAGCCGTCACTGGACGGACACCTGCTGCACTCTAGCCCTGCATGAATTGGTTCATGGCCATTGCTTTATTAAAT